TTATAGAAACTCCTAAATTATTTTATGTCTGACTTCCATTGCTTGTAAATTCTTCGTTATAGTTTCGGTTCGCGAACGACTTTCGGCTATGAGCTCGTGGGATCGAGGTCTATTCAAAAACATTAATTGTGACCTTAAAATGCCTACAGAGTTTAAAAGATTAATTACAAAAATTCATTCGTTGTAATTATACGATTCAAATTTTAAAATTAAAATAAGAATAATGTACATACAAAATATGAAATTAAAAAAAAAAGATACGTAATTAAATATGAAATTTTGTAGACGGGATTTCACATCCTTCCCCCTTACAAAAAAGAGTGCATTTTTGCTCATCACCATTTATGTGGTGTATGCTCACCATTAAAGTGAACAGTACCGGTTGCTTTTCGTTAAAGTGAACAGTACCGGGTGCTTTTCGTTAAAGTTCCCTTATATTTATTACCGTTAGATAAGTTTGAATTTTGAGATTTATGCTTATCAACTACACAAATCTCGAAATTCAAATTCATCTAACGATGATAAATAGGATGGTGAGTAAAAATGCTCCTTACAAAAAATTATCCTCGAATTTTTTAGTACCTTCTTTTGAAACCATTCGCAGAGCCCACTATTATCCAATTTAATTATTCTGAATTTCAGTTCACAACATATTCATAATCATTTCAGCAACAGAATTATGAGTCCTCGCAACACAATAAATGTCACGTGGAATAAGAACTCGACAGTATAAACACGAATCAATTTACCATAATCAATATCCATGATTGAATGAAAAGTCTTTCTCTCTACATACAAGTAATAGCGCTATATGCCAATCTCATGACACAATTTGCAGCATTAAAACAAGGTCTAGTTCTAGAATCTAATACTTAAGCTCTAATACCATTAAAATTGTCACGCCACGATTTCAAGATACGTTCAGGATCGACACATGGTATCATTACAGAACTGTTCCATCTTTCATGCCTCATCGCCGAGACATGTCCAAATGCAACTCAATGAATCAATAATGTAGTAACATTTCTTTTATCACATGGTTGCATCTAACTTTCTTGTTAGACTGTCTACGTACTCTCAGATGCGATCAAGCTATTCGTAATTCACCTTTTTTTCTAAAATCCGACAATCCTCATGGCACTTTCTAGCAGACAAATAGAGATTCAGAATCATTTAGTTTCTAGAACTCGACATGATTCACTAGATTCCAGACTATACAACGGATACATATGACAACTAGGATTATCAATCTCGCGGCAATTTCGATGAACGGAAACCTGAGTTCCTGACCATCTTCGATCGTCCCCAAATTGCACAAGCTGGTAGAACAAGTCACAAGGATGAATTTTCATACCTAGACTCAGGTCCAATTCAGTCATAAAACACCTGAATTTCGACATGGTTCACCGAAAACCCTAGAAATAGGTGATCGTTGATTCAACGTCACCCGACCTCCAATGCTTCGATCCTTGCTTGGATCTTGCTCCTAATGTCGAGAGGAGTTAGATTATGGTGATGGACGATGACGAAAGTCACGGCAACGGTGAGATACTCGCGGTGCGCTTGCGAACCCTAACGACTCTGTGCATCATGAAACCAGGACCAAATCGACTCGAGTTGATATGGAATTGCAAGATGGGAAGCCGCTGAGTGGAATCGAAAAATTTGGTGTAGGAACCGGATTAGAGACCAGGCACGCGGGTCATGTGTGGGATTCGCCAACTGGGCCTTCTCTCCCCCTTCTCATTGGTTCTTTCCCCCAATAAATGGGGCTATCCCCTCTCTCATGGATCCTTCCCAATAAATGACTTCAACATAACTTCGATTCACAAACCCCTTTCGGCTATGCGTTCGTGGAATCAAGCTTTGTTCAAAAACATTAATTGTGATCTCGAAACGTATACATATATTAAAAGATTAATTACGAAAAATCATACCTTATAACTATACGATTCAAATTCTAAAATTAACAGAAATAAAAATAAAAATAACATAAATACAAAATACAAAATTAGAAAGAAAAAAAAAAGGAGATACGTACTTAAATAATGAAATTCCGGGGATGAGATTTCACAGATGTGCTGTCAAGGTTGTTAAAAGCATTAAAACTCTTGGAAAGGTGAAACTCATCCATCCCAAAAAGATGCATGTGTATGTGATTCCAAAATAGTTAATTGAATTTTAAAGAAAAGGTAAAAGGTTTGGAGTGGGATTCTAACCCCGTGGAAAAGGCTTTTCTGAAATTCAAAAGGAAACAGAGAAAGCAGAAGCCAACAAGAACTCGTTGGTCCCTCCTCCTCAAATCGTCTCCTAAGGCAACATCTATGCAAGGAATCCAAGGATGCTACACAGCAGCTATGCTTAACTATATTAATGTCAAAAGCAGCAGCCATGTTTGAAAGATGGTGCAGGTGCAGCTATGTTTAAAGAAAACATGCCGTGTAAAACCTTTAATCGTGAAGGAAAAGATGTCTTCATTTTGTAGTAGTTACATGTCAGCTAATGGATGAAGATGACTAACTAAAGTGCTTTTTATAGAAGTGAACACAAGAATTCTGAAGTTGCACACAGAGGAGCAAAGAAGCAGCCAAGTCAAGTCAATTGTCAGCTCCTATCTATGGAGTCATCGTAGGGTTAATTCACACGGACCACAGTCCCATTCCAAGAAGAGATGAGACGCAAGATAAAGGGGGAAGAGGCTCAAAACTCAAAGTTTAATTGGTGGTTTATCCAAAATATCCATCAAAATTTTATGGCTAAATTGGATAAATAGTCCTCGTGGTCTTAAGGTATTCAGATGATAGACCATGTAGTAAAAACATTCGGATTCGTGGTAAAGTCTATTCGGATTTCAACCCCAAAACTTAACTTTCGTCCTTTTCCGTTAGCCTGCACGTGAGGGATCCAAAAGTAGATTGTATGGAATAGCTGGGATCCCGCAATCGCCGACCTCTGACCTCTCTCTCTCTGCCATGGATGACACCGCAATCGCCGAAATGCCCAACAGGAAGCCAAGGGCCATCCGAAGGGCACTCAAGGACAAAAACCCATCTGGAAATGCAGCCAATATCCTCGCAGGAAAGGTCTCTGACGCCGCTCCAAGCCCGATCCAAACACCATCGGACTCCAACCCAACGAAGGAGAACCAAGCAAGCCTCTCTCAGACTCGAACCTCCCCCAAGAAGTCGGCCAAAGTTGCGGCTTCTAAGAAACAGGCCAAGCAGAAGAAGACCCAACCGTAGTCATTCGAGAAAGAACTCGAAGAAATGCAAGAGAAGCTGCAAGCGATGAAACTCGAGAAGGAGAAAACCTTGGAGCTCCTGAAGGAGAAGGATGAGATCTTGAAGACCAAGGAGGAAGATCTCGCAATGAAGGGCCGAGAGCAAGACAAGCTTCAGATGGAGTTGAAGAAGCTGCAGAAGCTCAAGGAGTTCAAACCCACCATCGTCTGTTTTCTCAATCCCCTTTCTTTTCTTCATTTGCGTCTTTATTTCTTCATGTGTTGCATTATCCTCTGTTTGGATGCTGAGAAAATATATTATGAATCTGAAGTTTGGTTGGGTGATTCTTAATTTTAGGTTCTCAAATTTGTTTGGTTACTTGTTAATTGTAAAAAAAATGGAAAAAAAAATAAAAAAATCCATGAGGGTTCTTGATTTATATGTTCTTACGGTTTCTGTTCTCGATCCCCTTTCTTGGAATTTGTTTTGTTGCATTGGGATCTGGCTGATTGTTTGGATATTTAATCTAATGATTCTTGATTAGGATTTAGGGTTCACATGAAATTTGGCTTGATGATTCTTGATTTGTGATTTTTATGCTTTTTGGTTACTGGAAAATTGCACAAAAAGCGTGTTTAGGATTCGTAAATTCGGGATCCCAGTTATTGCATACTATCTACTTTTGGATCCCTCACGTGTAGGTTTAACGGAAAATGTCGGAAGTTAAGTTTTGGGGCATAAATCTGAGTAAACTTTACCACGAGGTTTAAATCCGAATTTTTTACTACAAGATCTATCATCCGAATATCTTATAACCACGATGACTATTATCCGATTTGGCCAAATTTTATTTATCGATGAATTAGTATAAAACTGCTAAATCCCACACATATCCCCTTGTTTATATCCGATCACAAGCAAAGAAAAATGTAAACGAGGAATGCAACAGATTAAACCCATGGTCCTCTATTTAAATATCAGAGTACTAGACTATAAAATAAGAATATTATTAAACTAATAAGAATGCCGAAACGATTACAAAACTTCAAGAGATTATATTGTGACAGACTTGTTCTAAAGTGAATAAAAAAAAGAGGCGTTTTGATATAGGCGCCTCGTTTTTTAATTTTTTAGACTAAACATACATTCCTTTTGAAAATTTGATTAAACATTTTCCTAAAATTTTGGTTATTAATTTCAGCTTTTTCACATAAGTTCAATTTTGTTTAGAATTTTAGTTTTTCACAACTTCTCCTGGGCATTTCATTTTTTTTTCTTTTCCTATTATCCCTATATTTATGCATTTATTATCCATCTCTATGCATTTTTTTATTGTTTGTTATACTTTTTACTTTTTTGTGTGAATAGAGTACAATATTTACAAAAAAAAATTGTTAGATTTTATTATTTAGAAGATCCAACACATAATAAATATTTGTTTGATTATATAGCTACGTCTAGTTACTTATAATATGGACACATTTAGTTTTATAGAGGATTTGATTTTTTGTATTTCTCGGTACATTTGGAATGTAAATGTACCAAAAGGGTTATCTAATAGAGACATTTGATTTTGTGGTACATTTGGGATTTTTTGTTCATTTGGTCTTTTGGTCCATTTGGAATCTAAACGTACCAAAAATGTTACTTGACAATGGGCACATTTGGATTTATGGTACATTTGAAATTTTGGTACATTTGATTTCTCTATATATTTGAAATCTAAATGTACCAAAAGGGTTACATAATAATGGGTACAGTTGGTTTTATGGTACATGTCACAGCCCGTCCCAAGATTAGTATTTTCTTAAGTGTGAACTTAGTTAAATTACCCTAGTTTTAAAGTTAGATGGACTTTGAGGTTTTGGAGGTTTGTGATGAATGATTGAGGACTTAGACCCTACACACTCACGGATCCAAGTCATTTCCCATTCTCCGTGAATTGCTCTACCTTTCAAACCTGTCAAGCACTTTCTCTCTCTCATCCGTGTACCACTCCCTCTCTCTCTATTCCCTCGACAAGTTTCACTCACCCTCATTCTCTCTCAATACACGGACAACACTCGAAAACCTTCAAACCTTTACAGATCGAGATCATGGAGAGTACGGTGGTGTTCCTGAGGTCCTTATGATTTTAACCACATAGCTTTCAAGTCCTGGAACCTTCGAAAACCCGAGAAAAGCCGTAACCCGATTTGAGTACACAATCACTTCGACGTGATCTTGGAAGTTTCAAGCCAGTTTAAGACTCCCAAAGGTAATCTTTCTTCCTCTTAAGTTTAATGGACGAGTTTTGGATGGAATAGGACGTCGGAAAACCCTAAAAAAAAATAGGATTCCCGATTTGGGTATTGTTCATCATCTTTTAAATGGGAGATTTTCTTTGAATTTCAGGATCATAGGGAGCTTTAGAATGTTCTCACGATGCTCGGAGTGCATCGTTGGTAAGAAAAGGATCACGGGAAGCTCAGTTACGAAGTTTTACAGAGGTCGCCGGAGTTTCAAAGTTCCCCGACGTAATTTCATGCAATTTGAAGTTTCAAACAGGTATAAAGTGATTCTAGAGGTCCTAAGCTTCAATTTGGTATGAATTTCATAAAAATTGGTTGAAAAACGAACAAGATATCAAGTTTAGAAAACTTACCCAGTTTCCCGGCACCGGCGACGGTCGCCGGAGCTGAAGGTTGAAGGTGACGGAATATTCCGTCAAGTTTGACGGAATATTCTGACGCCGTTAGTCAGTTTTAACGGTTACCGTTAGAAGTTAACGGAATATTCCTCGGAATATTCCTGACGCCGTTTCAAAGTTCCGTTAGGGTTACTGCGCGTGGGCCGCGCGTAGACCCGTGGCCTCGCCGGCGCGTGGGGGCGCGTGCATGGTCCAAAATTATTTCTAAAAATATGTACGGGTTCGTGACGTCGTGTAGGTCACGGTGGTATATTTATATACCCAAATTGATCAACGTATGAGAAGTTATTAGCGAATGTTTCGTATGTACGTTTAAATAACGTTTTATAAATTTCGCATTAGGTGAAAATGTGAATTGATGATCCGACCGTTGGATCGTCACCAAATTTTGATACGTTGTAATACGTAATATTTGAGGATTATAGGAACTTACGGATTGGGAATCCGATTTACGGATCTTCCGGAATTGAAGTTGTAAGTCCATAATATAAAATGTTAACCGTCACTTAGTTTTGGAAATTGACGGAGATCCGACCGTTGGATGGAAATGAAATTTTAGGATGTTATCCTAGAGATATATTGTGGACCTTTGGAAGTTATGGATTTAAAATCTGAGTGGCAGATCTTCCGGATCGATCTACGTAGTGACGTATTTTATATAAGTTATATATTCTATCGATATGAATTCTGAGGTTGGATTTGATTACTATTCTAGGCGGCGATCGTCGTGACGCCTTGATGTGTGGTGCTAGGGAGTTGTTGGACGAACTCCAGGTGAGTGGGCAGTTTTGTTTTCCGTATATATATATATATACTTAACGTTTTCCCAGAAATTGAAAATGCATGAAATAATGTTTAAAATGAAATGCATATGAGTTATGTGGAAAAACGGGAAGTGAAATACCATGCATAGAATTGATATGAAAAGTATATAGAAATGTGAGTTGAAATGCCATGCATGAATTAATATATGATGCATATGTATGAATTGGTGCGGTGGACGCACAGGTAAGAATTGATTTATGATGCATATGTATGAATTGGTGCGGTGGACGCACAGGTAAGAATTGATTTATGATGCATATGTATGAAATGGTGCGGTGGACGCACAGATGAGTATTTAATTACTGTTATGATGATATATATTGAGCTCAAATCCTGCACCATGGTTTAGTGCTTATAGTATTCACCGCATCGCACGCTCGCCTTGGATCCAAGTAGATGCTAGTCGTACAGTCCACGCGGAGTGGGTACGACAGACCAGTCGCAAGAGTGTTAGTGAGATTCCGACTGGTGGGTGACCTTAGATTATGTGCACAGATGATTTATGAGAAGCACTAGAGCGTAACTTGTGTGCAGAAGGCCGGACGGGTCACAGAGGTGACTCCGGTAGAGTGATAATGATAGATTTTGAGCTCTAGGTTCAACCGTATAGGGCTATTAGAGGGCCTACGGTTGATTACTTTCTTGCACCTGATATGATTATGTTGATGCATTCATACCTTATTACTGTTGAGATGATGTGGCATGGCATAATTAATATGAGAAATGTTGAGATGACATGGCATGGCATGATTGATAAAGAGATAATGTTGAGATAGTAAAAATGAAGTTTTGAGAATATATATGTATATTTATATTTTACATTTCTGGGAAAGTATACAGGTTTTACGGAGAGGGGTTACAACGTTTTGAGAAATGTTTGGTTTTGGAAAAGAATTGTTTTACTGACCCACTCAATTTTGGTTTTGCGCCCCTCCAGGTTCAGGAATCACAAAGGTGTGGTGACTACGAGGAATTCGTCGGTGTTCTGACAGATTGGACAAAATTAGGACTCACCTTCGGGTGTATCAACTTATAAATTGTATCTTAAAGCTTCCGTACTGTGCAAATGGTTACGTCACTCTCACGTGACGGCCAGCATGCCCTCCTTCGGGACGGGGTGTGTCAGTTGGTATCAGAGCATGGTTGCAATCTTGGACATTTTGAGAAGTTTCTAGTGAATTCTGTCAGAACTACACCGCCTCGTAGTAAACCACTTAGTTAGAGGAATTTAGTCTCCCTAATATAGCGGTTTAGGGGAAACTATTCTTATGGTGATTCAGTCTATTATAAAAAGGGACATTTTAAGACGGATTATGAGTCGAATTTGAATCACCTTATGAAATGATGAACCCGAGGGAGCGAAGTAACGGTTTAACCATTTGGAAAAGATGTTTTAGATTATGCAAGTCAAAGGAATCTTCCTTTTGACTGAGGGGTCGAGACGACTACCTGGTTTTGGGTATGAATTTGTATCCTGGTGGAAACAGGAGTATAATTGTTGTCACTGGAGGAAACAGCCGCTTGAGAATTGTTTAAGGACTTGTTAAAGGAAAAGTTTATTCCTCCAGCATTTATCGATGGTAATAAGCAAGAGTTGCAAATGTGAATTAAGGAAGAATAAGAAATGAATGGAAAAAAAAAGACGATAAAGTTAATGATTCGTCATATCAAGGATATAGAAAGATTCAGAGTTTCGAAAGAAGTGAAGCTAGAGTTAATTCTTCCAGTTGAGTTTTTAATGTCGCTGGTCAAAGTAAAAGTGATGGATATACTGGTAATCCCAGATATTTGAGACAAGGTGTCTCGAGTAAAGGAAATGTACCTTGTGCAGCAGGTACAAAATTAACACTTTGGGAAGTGTGAAATTAATGAATGTGTTTATGTGAACAGAGGAGACACAGAATTGTGAATTGTCCCTAGAATCAGTTGTACTCAACAATTTTCCATGATATCATAGTGTCGATTCAGCAGAGTTATGGACTTAGTAGTTTGGTCGGAGTGACCGTGGGTACAGAAAGATTTGATGAGTTATATGTTCAGCCATGCAGGCCACGAGAGGTGGACCCGGCTGACGAATGAGAAATTGGTGAGTTATAGGCTCGGCCGTACCGACCACGCGGAGTGGATCCGGCCGACATATTATTGAGGTAATTGTTGAATCAGCCGTACATGTCATTCTAGTTGACCCCGGCTGATATATTTCTTATTATGTATTTTGCATTGAGTGATAAAAATAGTACTATTATATCTTTGAGAGTTGTTGCCTACTTATCGAGACAACGATGATTTATCAGTATTGCGGGCTGCAGACCGTAATATTAATAACTTATTCGTGGATTCGTTAAGTAAGTAAACTGGTAGGTTATCCTATGTTAGTATTGTACTTATTCAGAATGCTTAGTAGTAATAGAGTATGTATTGTGATTTTGATGTCATTCTAGATATAGAATGGTTGATTATCATTGTGATAAGATGGAATGTTACGGGAAACCAGTCACTTTCCAACGATCTGGATGATCAGAGGTTACCTTGATGGGTATGCAAAGTGGAGTGAGACAGACTGTTAAATTGCTGTGAGAGTAAAGAGGTAGTTATCGAAGATCTGTCAAGGATACTTAGCTTATGTGATGCTAAATAATGTGGCTCCTAGTAGTTGGAAAATGTAAAGGTAATTGGACGCTTTCTTAATGTTGTCCTTGAAAGTATACCTGGATTGCCTTCAGGCAAAGATGTAAGGTTCACTATTGAATTGTTGCCAGGTATAAATCTTATGATAGAGATTGGTTCATGATGAGTTAAGTGAATTGGAAATTCAATTGAGAGAATTGGTTGATGTTTGTTTGACTAGCTCAGAGGTAATGGTGTAAATTCAAAGATTGACTTGAGGTCTGTCCATTACCAATTGAAGCTTTTGAACGATGTTGATTATAAGATGGTTTTCTGGACTTGTTATAGTCTTTATGAAGTTTGGTGATGCTATGGATACTCATGCTATTTTATGAGTTGATGGATGAAGTATTCCAATAATGCTTTGATAATTGATATCATTTTCGTTGAAGATATTCTGGCATATTCTGAGCCAGAGCAGAGCATGTAAACGTATTAAGTCGGTGGAACAAAGATTGGAAGAATGTCGACTGTATGCTAAGTTTAGCAAATGTGAATGTTGGATGAATCAAGTGGCATTCTGAAATTGGTTATATCTACTTAAGGTATTCAAATGAATTCTTAAAAGGCAGCAGAATTGAGAAATTGGAACAACCACAAGCCATAATTGAGATTCGGAAATTCTTAACTTATCAGGCTATTTTGGATGGTTGTGAAAGAATTTTTAGTCATTGCTTTGTCATTGACGAGACTGTTGAGAAAGGAGGTTATGTATGAGTAGGAAGGAAATTGTGAGCAAAGGATTCAACAACTGAAGTATTTCCTCACTCATGCACGTATTTTGGTATTCCCAGAGAATAGTGGTAATCATAAAATTTTAGTGATATTTCTTGAATGGTATTGGATGCATGTTGATGCAAATGTTAGGGTGATGGCATATGTTTCATGACAAATGGAATCTCATAAGATGAATTACCCTACTGGTGATTTGGAAGTCACGATTATCATCCTTGCTGTGAAGTTATGGAGACATTATATGTTGATAAGAATGCAAGATTTTACAAATCAAAAGAGTCTCCAATATTTGTTTACTTGGAAGGATTTTGATATGAGGCAACAAAGGTGAATTGAATTACTTAGTGATTATGATTGTACGATCAGGGTGATCGTGAATTGTTGTAGCTGAAGCACTTGATAAGAAGACTACAGTAAGATTAATGTCTGGCACGCTTGCCAAAAAAAAAAAAAAAAAAAAAAAATTCTTGTTGTGGATTGGAAACCAACTAAAGTAAAGTTCAGAAATGGAAAGATATTACTTTGGATTATGTGTACAAGTTTTCTTGTACATAAGATGGTTATGATCGAATTTGAGGTGTTGATTGGTCAATGTACTAAGTTAGTACATTTACTCCAGTGTTGAGTAACAGTACTTATTTGTTTTATGGAAAAGAGAATTGGATTACGGAACTGCTAAGTTTCTTAAGTATGTTGGTTGTGCAGTTTCCGAAGTAACGCCATAGGGTCCCTGAAGCGTGTCGTGTGAATGAAATGCTTCTGAATAGAGAAAGATTCGATCAAGAAAGAGTTTTAGTAGACCCTGAGACTATGGATGAGTCTCCTCAAAGTATTCAGGTGATTAAGTTAACCTGAAGTAACCAGGAATGGCAAAAGAGACTAACAGATGGATATGCCACTAATCGAGTGTGTAAGGTAAATGGTTTGATATTTTTGGAAATTTCACCATGAACAGAAATAGTAAGATTTAGAAAGGAAGACAAGATAAGTCTTGAACACATCAGTCCGTTTTGATCACTAAAGGAATCAATAAAGTTGCATACAAGTGGTGATGTCTTCAGAGTTGGCTAAGATACTTAATGTATTTTGGGTTCGATACGTTGTCACTAGGTGGCAGATTCGTCACATGAGATTCTGGTGCAACTATTGAGAATTAAGCGGGATCTAATTGATAAGGAACTAAGGACGATTTTGGATTGGAGAAAGGAAGTCCCGAGAGTTAAGAAAGAGTAAGTGGTAAAGGATTTGTGAAGAAATCATTCAGTAGAAGAAATTACGTGGAAGAACGGATGAGAGAGATCTACCCGAGACTATTGTATGGGTATAGATGTTTCAGTAAGGTTGATTTAGTTGGTTGTTGGAATTTCGGGGACGAAATTCTATAAGGAGGGAAGATTGTCACAGCCCGTCCCAAGATTAGTATTTTCTTAAGTGTGAACTTAGTTAAATTACCCTAGTTTAAAGTTAGATGGACTTTGAGGTTTTGGAGGTTTGTGATGAATGATTGAGGACTTAGACCCTACACACTCACGGATCCAAGTCATTTCCCATTCTCCGTGAATTGCTCTACCTTTCAAACCTGTCAAGCACTTTCTCTCTCTCATCCGTGTACCACTCCCTCTCTCTCTATTCCCTCGACAAGTTTCACTCACCCTCATTCTCTCTCAATACACAGACAACACTCGAAAACCTTCAAACCTTTACAGATCGAGATCATGGAGAGTACGGTGGTGTTCCTGAGGTCCTTATGATTTTAACCACATAGCTTTCAAATCCTGGAACCTTCGAAAACCCGAGAAAAGCCGTAACCCGATTTGAGTACACAATCACTTCGACGTGATCTTGGAAGTTTCAAGCCAGTTTAAGACTCCCAAAGGTAATCTTTCTTCCTCTTAAGTTTAATGGACGAGTTTTGGATGGAATAGGACGTCGGAAAACCCTAAAAAAAAATAGGATTCCCGATTTGGGTATTGTTCATCATCTTTTAAATGGGAGATTTTCTTTGAATTTCAGGATCATAGGGAGCTTTAGAATGTTCTCACGATGCTCGGAGTGCATCGTTGGTAAGAAAAGGATCACGGGAAGCTCAGTTACGAAGTTTTACAGAGGTCGCCGGAGTTTCAAAGTTCCCCGACGTAATTTCATGCAATTTGAAGTTTCAAACAGGTATAAAGTGATTCTAGAGGTCCTAAGCTTCAATTTGGTATGAATTTCATAAAAATTGGTTGAAAAACGAACAAGATATCAAGTTTAGAAAACTTACCCAGTTTCCGGCACCGGCGACGGTCGCCGGAGCTGAAGGTTGAAGGTGACGGAATATTCCGTCAAGTTTGACGGAATATTCTGACGCCGTTAGTCAGTTTTAACGGTTACCGTTAGAAGTTAACGGAATATTCCTCGGAATATTCCTGACGCCGTTTCAAAGTTCCGTTAGGGTTACTGCGCGTGGGCCGCGCGTAGACCCGTGGCCTCGCCGGCGCGTGGGGGCGCGTGCATGGTCCAAAATTATTTCTAAAAATATGTACGGGTTCGTGACGTCGTGTAGGTCACGGTGGTATATTTATATACCCAAATTGATCAACGTATGAGAAGTTATTAGCGAATGTTTCGTATGTACGTTTAAATAACGTTTTTATAAATTTCGCATTAGGTGAAAATGTGAATTGATGATCCGACCGTTGGATCGTCACCAAATTTTGATACGTTGTAATACGTAATATTTGAGGATTATAGGAACTTACGGATTGGGAATCCGATTTACGGATCTTCCGGAATTGAAGTTGTAAGTCCATAATATAAAAATGTTAACCGTCACTTAGTTTTGGAAATTGACGGAGATCCGACCGTTGGATGGAAATGAAATTTTAGGATGTTATCCTAGAGATATATTGTGGACCTTTGGAAGTTATGGATTTAAAATCTGAGTGGCAGATCTTCCGGATCGATCTACGTAGTGACGTATTTTATATAAGTTATATATTCTATCGATATGAATTCTGAGGTTGGATTTGATTACTATTCTAGGCGGCGATCGTCGTGACGCCTTGATGTGTGGTGCTAGGGAGTTGTTGGACGAACTCCAGGTGAGTGGGCAGTTTTGTTTTCCGTATATATATATATATACTTAACGTTTTCCCAGAAATTGAAAATGCATGAAAAATAATGTTTAAAATGAAATGCATATGAGTTATGTGGAAAAACGGGAAGTGAAATACCATGCATAGAATTGATATGAAAAGTATATAGAAATGTGAGTTGAAATGCCATGCATGAATTAATATATGATGCATATGTATGAATTGGTGCGGTGGACGCACAGGTAAGAATTGATTTATGATGCATATGTATGAATTGGTGCGGTGGACGCACAGGTAAGAATTGATTTATGATGCATATGTATGAAATGGTGCGGTGGACGCACAGATGAGTATTTAATTACTGTTATGATGATATATATTGAGCTCAAATCCTGCACCATGGTTTAGTGCTTATAGTATTCACCGCATCGCACGCTCGCCTTGGATCCAAGTAGATGCTAGTCGTACAGTCCACGCGGAGTGGGTACGACAGACCAGTCGCAAGAGTGTTAGTGAGATTCCGACTGGTGGGTGACCTTAGATTATGTGCACAGATGATTTATGAGAAGCACTAGAGCGTAACTTGTGTGCAGAAGGCCGGACGGGTCACAGAGGTGACTCCGGTAGAGTGATAATGATAGATTTTGAGCTCTAGGTTCAACCGTATAGGGCTATTAGAGGGCCTACGGTTGATTACTTTCTTGCACCTGATATGATTATGTTGATGCATTCATACCTTATTACTGTTGAGATGATGTGGCATGGCATAATTAATATGAGAAATGTTGAGATGACATGGCATGGCATGATTGATAAAGAGATAATGTTGAGATAGTAAAAATGAAGTTTTGAGAATATATATGTATATTTATATTTTACATTTCTGGGAAAGTATACAGGTTTTACGGAGAGGGGTTACAACGTTTTGAGAAATGTTTGGTTTTGGAAAAGAATTGTTTTACTGACCCACTCAATTTTGGTTTTGCGCCCCTCCAGGTTCAGGAATCACAAAGGTGTGGTGACTACGAGGAATTCGTCGGTGTTCTGACAGATTGGACAAAATTAGGACTCACCTTCGGGTGTATCAACTTATAAATTGTATCTTAAAGCTTCCGTACTGTGCAAATGGTTACGTCACTCTCACGTGACGGCCAGCATGCCCTCCTTCGGGACGGGGTGTGTCAGTACATTTGGTTTCTCGGTACATTTGAAATCTAAACATACCAACAGTTGATACTTTTGTTTTCAAATGTACCATAAGTTTTAAGTATATTTTTTATATATCTATACGTGAAAAAAATATGTATTGAAGATTTTTATTGAGACATTTTTAATAGAAAGATATATTTTTTTTAAATACTGATAATAAGGAAATGAGGAATTAGTTAATTAATTTTTTATTTTATTTTATTAAAAAAATATCATTTAATGTGTAGAAGAGGATTGACGAAATTAAATTCCTATATTATAGGCAATTAGTTGCTAAGTTACCTTATGCCTCTATATAAATGCATTTAAATTAAGGAAAATTAATGATATGGAAATTAAATAAATAGAAAATTATTGAGGTGGCAATTGATCAAAGCACCTTAATCAAATCTTTAAAAGGGATGCATGATTAATCTAACAACTATAGAAAAGATGTAGGGCATTCTAATTTTCCCTAAAAAAAATAAAAAATAAAAAAACACCTCTCTCGAATCATGTTATGGTAACGGAGGTCTCGAAAGCAAAGTCTTTCAACGCAAATGCCCATTAGTTCTATATGACGATAAAAGTGGTAGAAAACCACGAAAGCTTTTGGGCAAACTCTCATAAAAGAATTTGAAGTCGATATAGGATAAACCAATAATATCCTTGGTGGTTATTTCAAATTATAGCAATACGTCAACCTAGTCGTACTGTTTTTTTATTTTGTAGTACGACAAGATCCATTGGATCCTTGGTTCATTCAACCAAATTCACCACAAGTTCAAATCGAATCTCTGGTTTCATTTAACCAAATTCATTCAAACAAATTCAAATAAACCAAACACAAAATCTTTTGGCTTTTTTTCTTTTTTCAGTGGGTCATTCACCCATTGAAAAATCTCAAACCAAATCATCCGTGAACTATGAGTGGCTTGATACCTCATAAAGGGTACGTAGGCATTCTAGGGCACAACCTAGGTGCAGCCGCAAAATCAAACAAACAACAAAATCCCCAAATTTTTTTTTCTCAACATAGTAGATAGTTGAAATACAATGGAACCCTACTAATCGTGATACACATTTCATATTAGAAAAGTTTTACACACTAAGGTGCGGAACCCCTACCACCGGTCTATAAAAAACCTCTCTCACAACCTCATCTCTCACAACTTCACTCCCATGCTAAATTGCTAATATCAAAGAGTGCAGAACAAAACACAATGGGATCGCCCCGGTGTTTGTTTGTGTCCAATATGTGTGATATACTTTCCAAAGTTGTGTTGTTTCATCTCATGGTTGTTAGCTCATCATTTTCCTCATTGCAGCAATCTTGTCGTGAGGAGGAGAGGTCTGCCTTGCTGCAATTCAAGGGAAGCTTCATCATTAACAGATCTGCCTCGAATTCTGATGACGCTTATACAAAGGTTTTGCAATGGAAACTAGCTGATGGACGAAATGGCAACTGCTGTGCATGGGATGGCATTGTGTGTGATGAGAGGACGGGTCATGTTATTGGCCTTGATCTTAGTAGCAGCTGTCTCCTGGGCTCTATCAACTCCAACAGCAGCCTTTTCCGGCTTGTTCAGCTTCAAGTGCTGAACCTCGCTGAGAACAACTTCAGCTCCTCTCGAATTCCTACTAGCATTAGGAATTTCCCGGGGCTCATGTATGTTAATCTGTCTTTGAATCATTTAACCGGTCCAATTCCTTCACAAATTTCACAGTTGGCCAAATTGTCGTCCCTTGATTTGTCTTCAAATCAGTTAACAGGTCCAATTCCTTCTCTAGGAAATCTCACCCACCTCACAGAACTTTCTCTGTCTTCGAATCAGTTAACCGGTCCAATTCCTTCTCTAGGAAATCTCATCCACCTCACGGCACTTTCCCGGTCTTCAAATCAGTTAACCGGTCCAATTGCTTCTCTAGGAAATCTCACCCACCTCACAAAACTTTTTTTGTTTTCTAATCAGTTAACCGGTCCAATTCCTTCTCTAGGAAATCTCACTCACCTCACAAAACTTTTTTGTCTTCGAATCAGTTAACAGGTCCAATTCCTAATTCCTTATCCAATCTAATCAATCTCGAGGCATTAGATCTAGCTAATAATAATCTGATTGGTACAGTGGAGTTCCACATGATGTTTCATAAGTTACAAGGGCTCACAAGATCTTATAACTATTTGCACATTTTTACAGAAACAGAAAGTACGAATGCAACTTTCTAGGATTGGGTTCGTGCAACACAAGAAAGTTCCCAAGTTTCCTGCGGTATCAAGAAACGTTGGTGTACTTAGACCTTTCCTTCAACCATTTGCATGAAGTACCAAATGGATGTTGAACACAAGCACAAAGACTTTGACGTACATGGACATTTCTTTCAACTTCCTTTCAAGCATTGTCCAGCCTTCATATGCCTTTCCTTGGGTAAACCTACAAGTTTTCGGGCTCCGGAATAACCTGCTACATGGGCCGCTACCGATGCCTCCACCACACACAGTTCACTATTGTGTTTCAAACAACAATCTAAATGGAACGATTTCACCTTTGATCTGCAGTCTGACTTCTCTTCAGCACCTTGATCTCTCCAACAACAATATGAGTGGAATGCTTCCCCCCTGTCTCGGAAACTTCAGCGTTGATCTGCGAGTTTTATTTCTTGGAAATAACTTTTTCAGCGGCTTTCTTCCTGAAATATACACCAGCACTAGCAGTCTGAGTTTGATTGATGTTAGTCATAACCAATTGCGAGGGGAACTACCAAGGTCGTTGGGGAACTGCACGACACTTGAGTTTATTGATCTGTCATACAATAAATTCAGCGATGTTTTTCCCATTTGGTTGGGGGCTCTTCCAGAGTTAAAACTTTTGGCAATGCACCACAACGCGTTCTATGGTCTGATAGAGGAACCTGATCAGGACAATGTTGAATATTTCCCTGAGTTGCGAATTATGGATCTATCTTTTAATAGTTTCAGAGGCAAGTTTCCATCTCAAAACATCTTTTCCGGGAATGTCATGAGGGGTGTCACTCGAAACCAGTCAAAATATATGAAAGTGGACACAGGTATCGATGCTCCTAGTCTTCAGCTAATCTTTAGTACATTTTACTCAATCACGATAACTAGCAAAAGTGTGGAAAGATATTATGCGAAGATTCAAGAAGCCTTTTCAGTGATTGACATCTCAAGCAACAAATTTGAAGGGAGGATTCCTGAATTTATTGGGAACCTAGAGGGGTTGATCTCATTCAATATATCTGGTAACCTCCTAACTGGTCCCATCCCATCATCTTTCGGGAATTTAAGATGGCTAGAATCACTGGACCTTTCACAAAACAAGCTTTCAGGACAAATCTCTCAAAGCCTCACGCAGTTTACATTCCATGCAATATTCATTGTCTCTAACAACAATATGACAGGTCCAATACCGCATGGAACCCAACTTATTTCATTTGGTAGCAGTTCATATGAAGGAAACCCTGGATTGTGTGGTGATCCTTTGCCAAAGAAATGCGGAGATCCTAAGGCTCCTCGCCTGTCGCCTTCAAAAACCGAAGAACATGATGCAGGCTCGTTTGAATTTGATTGGAAATTTGTTTTGGCGGGTCTCGGAAGTGAGTTGGTAGTGGGAGTTGTTCTTTCTGATGTGGTGATCACAAAGAAGCATGAATGGTTTGTTGAGATTGTTAAAACCATCAAGCTGATGATAGGAGATTCATAAGTCCACTCTAAGGTTATGCGTTTGATGTTGTTTTTTGCTTGTTTTTCTTTGTACTCCTTTTTAATGTTATGTCTACCTTTTGTAATATGGTATATTAGTTCCCCAAAAAGGTACAAACCCAGCTGAGAGGCGACATTGCACTGTCAGATGAAGTGAAACTGGTACCGGGCAGAATCGTTTGCTATGTATGGAATAATAGAATAAGAATTCATAATTCTATCGGAAGTACACCCAAATTTAACAACAGATAGATATTAGAAACAGTTCAACTGCCAAAGATTTTAGTCAAGCTAGGGGTGGGTTCAAAAAATCGAAAACCAAACCGAACCGAAACCGAAAAAAACCGAACCAAAACTGCCAAACCGAACCGAACCGAAAAAAAAAATCATATATAAATAATCAAAAACATACTAGCGCCAAGGTTAGAACCTTGGACCTAGAGTTGGGTGTAGTTACTTCAAGCCAACTTGACTGCAGGCTTTGTGTTGTTATAATTGTACTAGCAACTTATTTATAGTTTCTAATATTTAATGCCTTATAAAATTTCTTAACTCTACAAACCCTAGCCATCTCACTCCAATTCAACTTTCACTTTTTCTCAAGCATTCTCTCTCTCCCACCCCCCCCCCCTCCGCTGCTTCCTCTCTGCCTTTCCTTCCTCACTCTCTCTCTCTCTCTTTCCTTCCTCAATCTCTCTCTCTCTCTCTCATCTGGATTTTGGTATGAGCTTGGGTTCTTCAAATTCAAGGTTTTTGTTAGGGTACCTCCAGTTTTAGCTCAGATCACAGTGATGTGAATCAACTGGGTTCAATTAAAGTCGGGGTTAAATTTGGAAGTTTTCAATTTGCATCACACTTGCATCATGTGCTACCAATCTGTGAAAAAATAGCAAATATTTGTTTATGTTTTGGGTGATCTTTTAGGGATTTCATTTCATGAAGCTTTTGGGGTTTTTTGGTGATCCGTGGTGTGTGTTTGCATGCTTATGGTGGCTCTAATGGTGACTTCTATATATTTGTGGTAAATTTGTTTACTTCAAAGTCTTTAACTTTATGTGTTGTGCAGGAAATTTCTGCTCCCATTGTAGACAGTATGGATCCGACCGGTTATATCATATCCACAACCATTCAAGGCAAAAATGAAGAACCGATAAAAAACCGAAACCAATTAAAACCGAACCGAAAAAAAACCGAAAAAAAATGGACCGAACCGAACCAAACCGAAATTTCGGTTTGGTTTCGGTTTTGGCAAAAAACCGAACTGATTTAAACCGAACCCAGCCCTAAGTCAAGCAAAAACACAGTAACTCACATATGAAATATTTGAGTTATCTAATATGTATTAGATGCAATCCAAGGTTCAAACAATCATACATGAAGTTCGTTCACACAACAACAAATAAGGGTCCATAAAAACAAAATTCACACACGAGTTTGTGCCAGAAAACCCCTATTTAATTGGGTAAAAAACCGGAAGAACTTCTAGGAGCAAGTTCATAGAGAGTCATACGCATACACTAGCTCAAATCCTAAATCTTTGTCTAAAGGAGCAACTTGTAGTTTTGTTCAACTTTGAAATTCTTCAAGCCTAGGAAATGATTTGATAAATAAAAGAACATTATTTTAATCTTTAAACAAGTTAATTTTTGCAATAATACTGTATATAAGATTAAAACCTAACAGTCCTCCATGTCACATTTAGTCTTTTATTTTTATTTTTTAATAAATTCTACAAACTTACAAATTCAATTCGGGAAGATCCGAACGTTAGATTTTTTATTTGTAAATTTCTAAGGTTCTCAAATGATACCTACAACAACATATTATAAGTCATAATGATCGAACGGTCAAATCTTCATCTACTACAAAGGTCAATAATTTATGATTTCCTTCAATCTAGAAAATCCGTATATCGGATTTTAGATCCATAGATTCCTAAGGTCCTTAACTAATACGTACAATAACATACTAAAATTTGATGACGATCCAACACTCGGATTATCGACTACCGTACAAGAGTCCACAATCTAAGACGATCCGTACATCGGATTTTCGATCCGTAATTCTCTAGGGCCCTCATATATTACGCATGATAAAATATTAAAATTTCATAGCGATCTAACGGTTGGATCGCCATCAACCACGAAATTCAAATGGTGGTACGATTTCCTTTTAATCAAAGTAATCGAATCGTTGTATAATGATCAACAAACGGACCTTGGAACCATATCCAGAACATTGAGGAAGTCTCGCTATCCAAAAATCCAATTTGCAAAAGTCCCCCACGCACCACCACGTGCTACAGTTTCGGTGAACGGAAACTTGAGTTTCCGACTATCTCCGATCATCCCCAAATTGCACAAGCTATTTGAACTTGGACGCAAAGGGCGGGTATTATCCCCTTGCCAACTGGCATAACCCAGCATTAGCTTAACAACTAAACATTTCCTGTAGTGACTAAGTGGCATGATAACGTCATTTCAAAATTAGAATAGTTCAAAACTATTAAAGATACCAGAAATTGTGAATTATCATGTTTAGCACTAGAAGTAATCAAATAAATAATTGCTTTTCGGCACAAATTTGCATTCATCTTTCTTCAGCAGCACAAATTGCATTATACAACACTAAAAAACCCTATATTTTTCTTTTTTGATACATGGTTCGCATATAGAATAACGTTCTTAACTGCTTGAGTTACAACAATCTCGACCTTTTAATTGACTAAAACAATAAATGACAGAGTATATAATTTGTTTAGAAAACTAGATTTTAATCCTTAAATAAGATAAAATTTAGAAAAATGTCTTATACAAGATTAAAAATTGATTTTAGTCCTTAGATTATATTTAATCTAGCATTTGCATTTAATGTCTCTTTTTTATTTTTATTTTATAGTGTCCAGAATTACATTTTAGGTAAAATATTGTAAATTTTAATACCATTTGAAATTCAAATCAATTAGCTTTATTTGTTGGCATTTACCATCACCAATTTTTTATAAGTATCTTATACAATAAAGAAAATATTTTGGTACACTAATGTTTTTGCATATTTTCTTACGTACATAGGGATGACACGGTTCAGTTGGGGAACAGAAATGTTGTATCCATCTTCATAACCAAGAAAATTAACCGTATCCATAATTGCAAATTAACCATCGAGGACCTAAGAGTGTTTAGTCTAATGGTCAGGCCCTTGGTTAGCTACCAAGTGGTCTGGGGTTCGACACCTCTCAAGGTACCCACCTAGCAATTGCTAGAGTTTCTTGCCTACCAAATGTTGTGGGGTCAGGCGGGTGGCCTAGTGAGTAGTCGGGTCAAAGACTTGGAGATAAGGGTGGACACGGGCCGGGCCGAGCCGGGCCTAATTTTGAAGGAACCAGACCTTACCCGTTTTAAACAGTAACGGGACGAGATAGGCGGGGTTGGGTAGAGGGATTTTGCGTTTTGGAACCGGACCTAACCCGGCCCGTTTAAAACGGGCCGATTCGGGACAGGTCTACGAGGTCCAACTCTTTTTTTTATTTTTTATTTTTGTTGTAATTCATAAACTGCATTGCAGCAACACATACATGTTTTAGAAAATTACAAGACCTGAAGCTCCACCACATACTGCAATACATAGCTATCCGAGGTCTTAAGATCTTCTCCACATAAACTGTCGCATAAAAAATATAAAAATAAAAAGAACCAATAACTTCACAAACTTCGCCCTTGTAAGGGTTGTCTCAATGTGCTTCAGCCCATCGGCAGTTGCAGTAATGAAAGGTAGAGTGGAACAAAACAATTATCACCAAACAGATGATCACAACCCAAACAGTCTCAAGTTATCAACCATGGCTCATCACATGCTCATTCTTCCAAGACTGAAATTCTCATGAAACATTGATTCTTCCCTTCCCATTCACATTGCAACTAACTCATGACAAGGATTTCAACATTTTCGACCGCTCTTTTTTCTAAATCCAGCATTTAGAAGCAACAAAACGCATTACGAATACGACTTACAATTGTAAAGTATTATATGCGAATGAATTCCAAAAGTTCGGTACTTAACCATTTCTCTAACAGTTTGAAATCTTTGAACATAACACCATGACTGGATTAATTATTAAACCAATGCAGGTTTATACTTCAATAAATTAAACAAATTAATCAAGAAACAATTTGAAAATTACCTTGAAGAACTTCCATGAGCTCGACAAGTTCCTGCACTTGCCTACATTTCAAAAGCCGGCAACTGTCTCCCCAGCAACTCCATAGCGTACCCATCAAACAGCTTCAATGGCGGAACCCCGAGTTTATCAACCCTACTCAGCACATCAACAACGCCCCCCACGGAAATTTTCACGGAAGAAATTTGTGGAGAATTTTTTTAATGATATAATCCATTTTTGGATGAAATTTTCACGGAAGGGGCTTCATGGAAACAATATGAAACTTCAAGGGGTATTATTATAAACCTCAAGGGATTTGTGTGAACACGGAAACGGTAATACTAGGGAGATTAAATTTGTAGACAAAAATTTGGAAACTAAAGACATGGAAGTTGATGATTGGTTTATTACTTAAACGTTAATATATGTGCCCATTCCTATTGGTGACATATCATTTAGTTTACAAATTTAGTTTTCCTAACATTACCCACACGGAAAACATCAAGGGATGCTAGTGTCATCAAATAAAAATTGTGAGGTATGGTTAGGGTTAATATTGTTACAAACCTGCCACTTTACACTATGGAGATGATTTGTGGACTAAAGTTTTGTCGCATCATATCTAGTGAGACAAGCTTATTCTTTTGGTAATTTGTTTGCGTTTACAAAATGTTTTCATCTTTTTATTTTTTTTTCTCTTAAAAAAAAAGAAACAAATAGTGCCAAGCCATGGTTATCCAAAATATTTTCATCTTTTTATTAAGAATACAAAATATTTTCAACATTAGGATTAAGTCAGTTGTATTTATTAACTTTAGTTTTTTTTTTTCTGTCAGAAGATA